GGTGGAATTCCATAAAGCCAACAAAACATTGCTATATTTCTAGGGTTTTCAGTTGTCTATAATTCTACATACATGATAATCAAACAGACTGGCAATAGTTGGAAAAAAAATAGTTGTTTTCTCCTAAGTCATTATATCATCTCTTAAAAATCATGCCAAGATTATATCAGACTGCCACTGAACTTTTACTTAACCAATTCTTAATTCATAATATTAACCAATTCTTTAATCCCTTCTTGAATCCATAATGTTATCCCTTAGGCTTTCTTTTCAAATATTTTTTTAGTTGTCAATAGGCCTTTATTTTTATTTATGTATTTACTTATATGTGGTGCTAAGAATTGAACCCAGGGCCCCATGAGTAGAGCAAGTGCTCTACGACTGAGCCACAACCCCAGCCCTATCCCTTAGACTTTTAAAAGCATTTAAAGGGGTTTAGGGCATAGTTCAGTGGTAGAGTGCTTGCCTAGCATGCCCAAGGCCTTGGGTTCCATCCACAGTACTGCAAAAGAGAATAAAAGAAAAAAAGCATTTAAATTTTTTATTCTATTGTTTTTCTCTATTTTCTTCAATTTGCTTAGTTATTTTTCTTGTTCTTTGATTTTCTATCTTATTATCTTACACCTCTGTATTTCTAGAATAACCTCTTAATCTATTTGTTTGTTTAGTTTCATTTCATTTCCTAGTTGTTGTTGTTGTTGTTTTTTTTTTTTGGTATGGCAAACAAAGTAAAGCAAAATGGGTATTTTGCGGTACAGAATAAGAAATGATAACTTCTCTGTAGCTGAGTTTATTTCTAGGCACTTCAAAGAAGATCCCTAGATTCAGAGGTTCAACTCTGAATCTAAGTGCAAACCATTTTATTTAAAAATATATATAGGGCTGGGGATGTGGCTCAAGAGGTTCGATCCTCAGCACCACATACAAACAAAGACGTTGTGTCCACCGAAAAATAAAAAATAAATATTAAAAAATTCTCTCTCTCTCTCCTCTCTCACTCTCTTTAAAAAAAAAAAAAAATATATATATATATATACACACACACACACACACACACACACACACACAAGCTATGTTCTTTTAAGATAAGGAAAATAGCTGGGCTCAGTAGCACACACCTGTAATCCCAGCAGCTCAGGAGGCTCAGGCCAGGAGAATCGCCAGCCAGTTCAAAGCCAGCCTCAGCACCAGCGAAGCACTAAGCAACTAAGTAAGACCCTGTCTCTAAATAAAATGCAAAATAGGTCTGGGGATGTGGCTCAGTGACTGACTGCCCCTGAGTTCAATCCCTGGTACCTCCCTCCCCTGCAAAAAATAAAATCTATAGTGTATACTTTTGTCCAGGATATTCTGCATTAAAAATACAAATTTTTTTAATATACTTGTAACAGCACCATTTTTATTTTATTAAGAGGGTTTTACATGTTAATTCWGAGATCATTAGTAACATTGTTTTAATGGCCATATATTATTATTGCATTAATTAACTAGACCCCTTTTGCCAGTTAGGTAGTCACCATATTAAATAAAAAGATGGTAGCAAGCAAGAAGGACCAGCTCTTAAAAACACGTTAGTTATATTATATGAGATATATGCTATTGTTGGTATTTTTTTCTCCAAATGGTAGATATTTATATCTATTTCTAAAGCTTAATARTACTCAATTATAGATTTTCTAACTTGTTTTCCTAAAAGAGCTTAAATATGGAAAATGTGTGTTCTATAAAGAAAATGAACATATTTTATATTAATTACTTAAATTCCTCACTCTGAGCTTGTTTTTAATTACTAGAAAGAAATCTAGACTACTGATGTAAAGTTTGCATAAATATTACTAGACAATACTTGATATTACATAACAGAAGGAATTTGTACAGTACAGTAGTTTAAGAACACAGACTGTAAAGGGAAAAGACTTAAGTCAGAAACATGGCTTTTTAACATACTAACTATGCAACTCCAGGTAAATTACTGAACTTCTCTATGCCTTCATTTCCTCATCTCTATAGTAGGATAGTTTCTAATAATCATTTGAAACTTTYATAAAAATTCAATTAGTTAATATATGTAAAGTTCTTGGCACATGGTAAGCACTCTATTGATGTTTGTTGTTTAATAATTTTTTAAGTTAGCTAACATTTACTGAGCATCTACTATACACTAAATTAAATATTTTACATGAACTCCCCTAGTATAATCTTCAAAACAACCTAGGATGATGATACTATTATTGCCCACATTTAAAGATGAGAAAATTAAAGTATAAAGATTAAATGAAGTCCCACAGTGGCAGCTGCCTGCAATTCAAGCAACTCTGGAGACTGAGGCAGAAGGATCTCAAGTTCAAAGCCAGCCTCAGCAACTTAGTGAGATCCTAAGCAATTTAGGGAGGCTCTGTCTCAAAACAAAAATGAAAAGGGCTGGGGATGTGGCTCAGTGGGTAAGCGCCCCTGGGTTCAATTCCCAGTATGGGAGAAAAATAAAAAATATCAGCAATGAGTATGTGGGAGTTCATATCTATTTTCTTTACTTTTATGTATTTTTTAAGCCCAAATTAAAGGTTAAAAAATAGCAATGAGGTAGTACAGATTAAATACTTCATTAAACAAGCAAACAACTTTCTTATTTCATCTCAGGTAAAAATTCAAATAGGACATAATATACCTGATACTTGCATGTTTTGCATTTTATAYATAATCTGTAAAAGGGTGGTCTTAAATTGTTGACTAGCCACTAAACCAAAATGAAAAATCAACAAAGAGGCAAAAACATTTAAACACATATTAAGCTTGTATGTATTTCCATCAACTCATTAAAARTGTTTTAATAATTAACACTTTTTTTAATAATTTTGTTTATTTTATGTGGTGCTGAGGATTGAACCCAATGCCTCAAAAGTGCTAGGCAAGCGCTCTACCACAGAGCCACAATGCCAGCCTCAAATAATTAACACTTTTTCTTCCGTATATCTCTCTGCTGCCTAATAACCTCTATGATTATAACACTGATTTGTTGCCCAGGAAATAAATGAGATGTTACACACAAATATGACTCCACAACAGAAATCTGCTTCTTTAAGAGACACTTCTAAAAATTTCTTTCTTCAGATTAGAGTTTCAAAAATATTTGATACAAGGCACTTTTTAAAAAACATTTTTTTATTTTATTTTTAGTTGGACACAATATCTTTTCTTTCTTTATTTTTATGTGGTGCTGAGGATCGAACCCAGGGTCTCGCACATGCTAAGCGAGCGCTCTACCACAGAGCCACAACCCCAGCCCCACAAGGCACTTTAATACACACTAGCTCACTAAACTAAAGAGGTATCTATCTTAATAGAAAGAATATTAAAGTTTAAACAGGTAAAATCACTTACCCCAGGTCACAGAGCTAACAAATTGCTAAACTGGTATTCAAAGTTAAACTCAATTACAATATCCACTTTTCCCTCACTATATCAGACTACTCTTAAGCAAGGGGAAAACCTACACTCAAATCAGACTTAAATACTGAGGGCCTTCCTCAAGCGGGCCCTAAAGTCACTGCTTGTATATGTATTTGTATATATTTATATAGAGTGTGTTTGTGTGTGTATACATACTTATATTTCCTAGTGGTACCTTAGCATGGCTAACAAGCACTGAATAAAACACAGCGAGCATTGTTTCAGCTACTGTGGGATTTTTCCCCCCAAGTATCTTAATTTCAGCCTGTTTCTCTTTTTTTTTTTTTTTTTTTGTAGTTGTAGGAGGCCTTTATCTTATTTGTTTATTTATTTATTTTTTAAATGTGGTCCTGAGGATCAAACCCAGTGCCTCATGCATGCTAGGCAAGCACTCTACCCATGAGCTACAGCCCCCAGACCCTGTTTCTCATTTCCATAATAGGAAAATTAACATCCTTGCTGTCCAAATCCAGGATTACAAGATTCAAAGATAAATGATAAATGGGAATTCTATAAAACTTATTTAAAAACACAAAGAATATTTGATGTCTTAAAATGCTAAAAGCAACACAAAATGAAGTTTTCTAAATTGTCGCTGTTTATCCTACAGATTCCATAAACATTTCCAGGATTTTCTAAAGCCTTTTTTCTAAGCATAACTTAATCATCATCTCTATTACACAGCTTTTCTTATCCTTAAATATAATGTAAAATTACAAAAACATCAATGTTTTAGTAAATAAATGTTTGAAATATTCAGCATACAAAAGTTCTAAGTTTGGAATTTCCAAACTAAGTATGTGTTTTGTGTCACTCTTCTAGTTATTAACTCACCTTAATGTTTCAGCCTTTTCACATTTGGTTTGTATGTAAAAAAAGAATAAAGATCTGGAAATCTATAGTAGCACCCAACACATAATTTAAAATGATTTTTTTTTTCAAGTCTTCTCAAAGCAAACACAACAGCCAAAAAGCATTTCAACATAACAACAAAATACACTGAAACACTTAGCTGCTCTAAAAGAAGGATCAGGCTATTTAGGAGAAAACTACATTGTGTGAGTTTGCAAAGTTTCACACTTTCCCATTTAAATTCCATTTGAGAGAAAGTCTTTGCATACTAACACAATAGGCTTTAAAATGGCACTTTGCTGACCTTCCAATAGTCCAACTCTATGAAAATTCTGTGATGGGTGTAACTTCAGAGAATCTGAAAAACACAAAAAGCATTAAGTACTTTTTATGCTGGATGAGAAAAAAATGCCAAGGATAACATACATCTCTTATATAACTATCATATATTTTTGAGATCTAAGGCCCATACTTGTATATATATTCCCTACAAGAGGAATGCTTAAYTGCCTCTACATTGATCTCTAAACTAAACTTAGATTTTAATAAAGTATTCGTTTCATGGAAAATTATCTGACGATTACTGCCCAAATGGTGTTAGTGTCTTGACTATTTTTAGCATCCAAGTGTACCACATTAGTCCTTCTCTAAGATTCATCTCTTGATATTGTCTTCCTCCTGGCACTCAAAACTACAATATTTCTTAACTACTTCAAGTAACACTGTCCGAAAAATATCCACAGGATGGTTGGTGACCGCCAACTAAAGTCATCGAAGCAATGGTTACAGTAACTAAGTAGGATTCTGTACACAAACTCAATAGCCAGTCCATAAAGTCCAGTMTCTTCCAGAGTAAACCACCTTACTGCCATTCACTTAAACAACTTAAATACATTAATGTGAAGTTGAAGCCCCTGTTTTGTTCGTTTGTTTTGGAGGGGATGGAATCAGGGGATGGATGCATAAAACCAAAAACCAGCAAAACGCTGAATTTCTCAGGAAAAGGGTTCACCTGGCATATTTTTTTTAACATAATGAAATGAACAGTTAACAATCCAGTAATGTCTTTCGCCTCGTCCCAGTGGTTTAAGGAGTGATGAGTGCAGTGGGAGTATTTTGGTTTGATGCCCCTTGCATAGGGAACCTGTTCTGACACATTCTTATGGTGTCCAGTATAGGAATTTAATGCCAATAGAAATCAGCTCAAGTATTAATATTTGAGATGCTGGGAATCCCCTGCAGGCCTTAGCCAAAAAGAGTTTTTAAGTGGGAATCTCTGTCCACTGTCCCCTCCCTGCAAGAAGCCCTTGAACAGCAAAGAAGAGAAAATTCTCAAAGGACAGCGTCCGTGCCTCAGCCTGATACTCCAGAGGGAGGAGAGGAATAAAACTAACCCAGAGAGAGCACCATTATCTTTGAAAAGAGARGGAGAAGTAAGTAATTAGAATGCCACGGAGGTGGGAAAAGAAAATTCGGGCCCTTTCCAGCGAAGATGACGAGGAAAGGAAGAACGCCTGGCCGAGGGGGGCCGTCCCGACAAGCGGAGGGAGTGGACTAGGCCAGAGGGAGAGGGGGGCAGAAAGACGGCGCACAAACAAGCCGAAGGGGGGTAAAATGGTGACCCTGCCCCCAGAACCGACCTCCAGCCACGCCGCCCGCTGGGGGGCAACTTTGCCCGSGAGGAGGGTCCCGGTAAGAAGAGCCGTGGCGCGCGGATCGCCGCGGCCCCAGCGTGGGGCCCAGTTCGGGGTGATCCCCGAGCGGGGGAGGCCGGCGCGAGCTCCTCGCAGAGGGTGGCCGAGCCCGACCTGCCGCCGGACGCTCAGAGCCAACGGTGCCGCAGACACCGGGGGCCGACGGAATCGGGCCCCGGGCGACCCGCGGCTCCGCGGGGGAGGGGCCGCCGCTTCTCCGCCTGCCGCTCTACCACCAGCCGTCCCCCGCACCGCTCCCCCACCGCAGCCCGACAGGCTCGCGGGGTCCCGGCTTCGCCGCCCCCGCCCCGACGGGGACCCCCTGGGCTCCCGGGCGCCGGCTCTCCCCGCCCCCACGCCCCACCCCCCCAGCCTGACTCACCTCGCGAGTAAAGGGACTTGGGCGATTCCAGGTCTAGGTCCGCGCTGAGCAATGAGATGAAGTCCGAGGGCATCGCAGCTCGACCCAGCCCGGCCCGAGGGCAGCGGGAGGGGGGGAGCGGCGGTGGCGGCGGCACCTCCTCTCCGAGACCGCGGGCACCGAACCGGGGGCGGCGAGGCGAGGGCGGCTGCTGCTGCCTCCTCCTCGAGGGCAGTGACTTCCACCGAGCCAAGGACCAACGAAACGGCGTCGGGTGGAGGGAAACTCCACAGGGGCTGATTCCCGGCGAGCCAGGAGAGTTCAGGGCGGGGAAGGGGAGGGGGGGAGAGCCAACGGGTCCGTTTCGTGCTTCTCCTCAGCGAAAACTGACGGTCGCCGCCACCGCCGCCGCCGCTGACAGGAATCTGAGCCCCGCCCCCCGTGGGGCACTGCGCAGGCGCGGAGGGGGGCTCCCGAGAGCCGGGAAGAGCCGGGCAGCAGCCGGAGGGCGGGGAGGCTTGTCACGGAACAGCATCAACAAGGGCTTCGCTTCCTGCCGCAGCTGCCCGGGCGGCTGATCCCGAGCCGGGGAAAGGGCCCCGCCGGCAGGGAGGGAGGGAGGGAGGGAGGTGGGGAGGCGTCACACTCTGGGGCCCCGAGGAGGGAAAAGGTATTTGCACCGACCTGGTGGCGGCGAGCCTGAGGCGGCCTGCTCCGCGCCGCGGTGTGCGCAGGAGGACACCGACCCGGAGCAGCCGAGGTGCCTGCAAGGGAAGGGAAGAACCCAGCGACTCGCGGCGGCCGAGGCCAGAGTTTCGCAGGCAAATGGAGTTTCGTCGTTTGGACAGCGACCAGCTCTTTGGGGTTTTCATAGCAGTGTCTACAATAAGCTGGCCAAACGACTGTCAAACTCATTTCTTAATTAGGAAATGGTAGACCGTATCCTAAAAACACCAGGTTATTGATTGTTTTTAATTAAAGTGTCTTCTTCCCTCCCTCCCCACACACACACCGATTTTGGAGACTGTAATTTATTACTTTAAAAAATCTGATTGCGCTAGAGTATCTGAAATTTACTCAAGAGTGGGAAATAAGACAATTTAAAAATTGGATCTTGTGAATCCACCTGAATGTTCTAGAGGGGAAAAAAAAAAAGCAAACCTAAAACGCTACTCTTCTATACAGGTTTTCATTTTTGAGTTTTGGACTAGACTAGGATGGAGGAAGAGCACACGCACACGTAAATGAGTTTCTGCTGTTCTGTTCATGGGGGCCAAAAGTTTCCATTGCAAAAACAAAAATCCTCACCTACACCGCAGACCGTTTCCTGACTCTTAATAGACTTCTGGGAGATTTTTAATCAAGTTATTAAAATATCAATTGGAGTCAGGGTGTGCATCTTGAGAAAGAAATTTAATCTTGTGTGGAATATTGATGCCAATAACCGCATGGGTAAGGATTTTGAGCTATTTGAGTTGGTTTTGTTTCTGTCATTTTATCTTAACAAAGATCTTATAAATCTTAAAAGTCAGACTGTTGTATTATGTACATGTATGTAATTTACAGCCTCTCTCACCCATAAATTTGGGCACTTCATCTGAAATTGGAGTGCTGGAGCTGGGGGAAGAAGGTCTCAGCAAAGGACGCCCCAGTCCAGTTGCCTCTGGGATGGGCCCTTTACTAAGCTCTAACTGCACATCTAGAATTTATACTTGTGTCATCAGAGCCTACCTATCTTTCCATCTGAAAATCTGATTCAGATTGCCAAATTATCTTCGCAGAATTCTGTATAGCAGAGAAATCAACACTGTGAACATTTTCCTCCTGTCAAAAGGTAAGAAAGCTTTTCAGAGCCACCCGAAGATGGCAAAGCAGAACAGGCCACTGTAGGCTGCTGTAACAAGTCCCAAGGGAAGTCCCTTCATAGCTGGGAAGAGCCATTTGAGAGGGGAAGACCCAAATCTCACATTGCCTAACAAGCCAAGGCCTAATGAAATCCCATATCTTTTGAGTTTCAGTAAACACCTGTTAGAGACCTCCAGGCTCCATTAGTCACTACATGATTTGACAAGAGGAAATTGCAATGCACCAGGCAGAGCCTCAGTACTAAGAAAGCTTGGTGAATCACTAAGCATATTTCTGTGTAATTCCTCAACAAACTCAGAGTATAAAAAAATCCCACACTGTTCTGACCCTAATTAACAGGTCAAGAATTAGCAAGGACTCTTCCCTTCTGTACTTTGCCCTCTTGTGACTTCTTTTTTTTTTCTCTTCTGCTTTGTTTTTATGTTAATCAGATTTCCCCTGATTAGGTAAAAGCGGAATGAAGGAGGGTCCCTGATCAAATACAGTGTGACCTGCATGATAATCAAGGTTATCAAAAATAACTATCTGATCACTATTTCTCTAGTAAACTATATGTCCTTCTAGTTCTAATGACATTTCCCTTTGTGGTCATTTGTATCTTAGTTGTGTTCCCTGTTAGTTGGTATTTGAAGTAGTGTGAAAATATTTTAAAAACCACCCCATCATCCACAGTTCTTCATAAAATACTGACGTGACTTTATGTAAAATTTGGAAATTTCCTCTCATTGAAAATTACAATAGGATCATAGAACAAAACAAACAGCAGATTTAGTAGTTTGTAGAATTCCTTTACATTACTTCCGAATCAGGTATCACATTCCCTAGTCACTTGATTACAATTTCACAAGAACCCGGATTCAGCTACAAGATTGTGTAGATTATGCAATAAAGTCTCACTTTTTGTATTTGTTGTGTGTTTGTATTGATAGTGTTAAGGCCTCCTACATCTGTTTAGGCACTTTGAGAATTGTGTAGCTGGATCTACTCTAAATGAAAGAGGTTCAAATATCAACCACTTGAAAAGGAATTAAATAACTCATACAGAACAAAGTAATGTGTTGTCACAAGATCTACAGAATCTTTGTCATTATAATACAATGAAGGCTGTTAAAATAATTTTAGTCACACATATATTGTAAGGAACCTGCTAAACAAACACAATCTGGAAGGAAAATTTCCAGTGTGATTCAAATAATTGACTAAAAAAAGTTTATACTGCAAATTATTTTTGCCCCACCTTGGGAGTGCTCCTTAATAGAGAATTGATAGTGGTGGGCAGCAGCAGTGACTTCATTTGTGCTAAAATTTTTATCCGATTCTTATTTGGTTATGTTTATGTGATACTTTTTACCCTGAGATCATGCTCTGGAAAAGGTTTCTGAAGGTAAAATTAGTTTCTATTCTATTTGCCATTAAATTTAGTATATCCTCACTCTTTTCATCTTCCAAAGTGCCTAAATCTTATAATCAAGCACCTAATTCACTTTGATGAAGTACTTCTATATTTTATGAATTGATTTGAGTCAGAGTTTGCTTCTGAAGTCATTAGAGATCAGTTTAAGTCTCTCAAGATCTAGAGTGATTACAAATCCTAAGGTGCAGTAAAATCAACTTGAATCTGAAAGACTTAGTGAGGAGTGAGAAAGGAGGTAAATGCTGGAGAAATGCAAACGATGGATTAGGGAGGAGAAATTTTAATAAGAAAATAGAAACCCCTGAGTCCATTAAGCCAAGAAAGGAAAGAAGGTAATGTCTCCAAATCACCCCAATACCAGGCAAGTTAAACATATGCAAACTTGGGCTGGAGATGTGGCTCAGGAGGTAGCTGGCTTGCTCGCCTGGCATATGTGCAGCCCAGGTTTGATCCTCAGCACCACATACAAACAAAGATGCTGTGTCCGCTGGTAACTAAAAAAATAAATGTTAAAATTCTCTCTCTTTAAAAAAAAAAAAATATGCAAACTGCAAGCAAGTCCTTTTTCATACTGGCCCTGAACCACCACATTACATTTACTAAGATGCTTTTGCACTTCTAATCTTAGTATTATGGAATTCTAGCTAGTAGCTTCACTTCAACTGTGTTATTATTTTAAACAAGAATATGAACTAGTAGCCTGGCACGCAGGCATAAACTTGTAATCCTAGTGACTCAGAAGTCTGAGGCAGGAGAATTACCAAATTCAAAGCCAGCCTGGGCATCTCAGGGAGACCCTGTTTCAAAATAAAAAGGACTAGCTCAGTGGTACACACCCCTGGATTCAATCCTAGTACCATCGGGTGGGGAGCATGGGAGCATGAATTACTAAAGCTTTTTCATTTTTATTTTATTTTATTTTATTTTTAAGAGAGAGAGTGAGTTTTTTTAATATTTATTTTTTAGTTTTTGGCAGACACAACATCTTTATTTGTATGTGTGCTGAGGATCGAACCCGGGCCACATGCATGCCAGGCGAGCGCACTACCGCTTGAGCCACATCCCCAGCCCCACTAAAGCTTTTTTAAATTTATTATTATACTCTCTCTTAATTCAGAGAGAGTTTTTGTTTGTTTGTTTGTTTGTTGTTTGTTTGTTTGCAGTGCTGGGGATCAAACTCAGGACCCTACATGTGGTAGGCAAGCACCCTTTCACTGAGCTACATCTGCATCCCAATTCAGGGAGTTTAAAACCCAGAGATCCAGGGATTTGCTTCAGGTATTTGTGATCTTCCTAAACTGGTATGCAAATTTTTGCAAGCTTGTACCTACATGCATCTCTTTCTTTGGGAAACAAAGGAAACAAACAAAGGTTAAAAGTTTAGCCATCATAAGCTTTCTGAAAGAAAAATCCATAACCCAGAAAAAGATGAAAAACCATTTCTCTATATGAAGCAAATTTATTCTGCTCTCATTCCATAAACAAATGTCTGTGGAAATTTTAAAATACAAAGATTTTACAAAGACCATGTAAGAAGTAAACAGTGGCCTGGGCAAGGGCAGGGAAGTTGCCCTATAAAAAAGCAAATGCACTATGATAGGTGCTAGGCTAGAAATCTGTACAGGTATCTACAGATAAATTATTCATTTGCTTTCTTAATAGGAGATGAAGAAGGAATGCCATCTCACAGACCACATTCATTCTTTTCCTCCTACTATCCCCTACAGCTGCTATGTCTGTTCCAACAGAAATTTCCTACAGGGGTTGAAAGAAGCTAGACAGTTGCAGGGCAAAGTCCTGACACACTCTTGTTTACAATGTGATGTATCACAGCTAAGATGTATTGATGCAAATATTCCAAGAAATACCTGGGCTTCATTGAACTTCAGTGGATAGTCAAAGAAATCAAGTGTCTGTGTTTCAGATTTGCAGAGGATAGTGGCTAAATACTCAGGTGAGCACTCTACCACTGAGCCACAGCCCAATATTATTTATTTCTATGGCTTTACAAAATTGTATGATTTATTGAAACTTTGAAATATATTTTCATATCTGTTAAAACTAAAAAAAAATATTTTTAAAAAATATCACACATTGTATGTAACATGACTAAATTGTAAGA